TGTGTGTACTTATAGGTACACACATGTGTGCATTCACAGCACAATAAAACAATATGAATCAATTCTTGTGTTTTTGCTGTGTAAATAAAAAACAATTTAGGAGAATAAAAAGGTATTTCAGCATTAAAGCTCTTATTTTTAATATTTATATTGCTAAATCAGTGAGTCAGAGAACAAACATCAACAAAATGTAAGCAAAAATTAGGTCTTCATATGTACGTGTGAGGGTACACAGAGAGAGACACAGCTGATTGGTCAAAAAATGTTTCTTATTTATTTTTTAAAAAATGCAGTTCGGGGCAAAAAAAATAGGTTAACTTAAAATTTTATTTGGGTACCAACTTATGAACTGAAAAATTAATTGATAAAACTTATCAAAGTAACACTTCATTGTAATTGAAGAAAATAATTTTTTACAATCTCAAAATACTAAACTATTGGAAAACATCACAAATTGAATTATAAAATTAAACATGTCCCTCTGCTGACATACAACGTGATGTGACCTCATGCAGCTGTAACCTCTGGTTGCAGCTGAGCTGTTTACACTGAGGGGCTGTTTACACTGAGGAGCTGTTTACACTGAGGAGCTGTTTACACTGAGGAGCTGTTTACACTGAGGGGCAGGACCACTGCAGCTGCCTCTCCAATGGAACTGACAACTCAAGGAAACAAAAAGTTTAAATATTGCAAATGATAAAATAAATTATTACAAAATGTTAAATGTGTGCTATGAAAATAATTACCCTAATATGAAATGATGCAAAATTGTTTGATTAAACTACATAAGTACTTAAAGGCTAAATTATTTAACTTAGATTAATGAAATTTACAAAAACCAAACCCATAAGTTACCAAACAGACAGTAAAATAGTGGCACAACCTTTATTTACTATGTAGCTGCAGGTGCTGCAGTCACAGTATTTACATTTTAACTTCAGCTCTAATCCTGACAGTCTGAGCCGTCCTGTCAGTCTTTTGTCTTGAAGTGCTCTCTTCAGAGTCTGAATGAGCAACAAAACCCTCTGTTCTGATTCTCAGTCTGTGTCACTTGGAGGTCTATGTGAAGAAAAAAAAGCCAGTAAGAGATAAAAGAGAGTTCCTGCTGTTATCATTTTGTTGATTGACAAATAAAATTAGCTACAATGATAAAATATTATAATAATAATAAATGTTAAATAATCAAAACTAWTGTTCAGTCTTACTTATAAAAAGGTAATCCCATGTGATCTGCTTTCAAAACGTCATAGATTAATGCACCAAATAAGGGCATAGTCTCTCGCTCCAGTGCTGCCTAGAATGAAGAAACCCCCATCCAATATGGCGGCGCTGCGTGATGTGATTCTGCCAGCCATGAGGTATCTAGTATTTGTATGATATCTATGGAGTTGACTGCACAGTCTGCAGGCCGACGGGAGCGAGAACATTTGAACTTTCAGGTCAGAACCACTAGATAGAGCCATCCGATTATAACTATTTTTTTTTGTAAAGGTAAAGGTAGATTACTGTTAATTCATTAAATTTATTTAATATTCACTTATTAAAAAGATGCATTTAATGTCTTAATTCTCCGGTGGAAAAAAAACATGCATGAGGATGTTCCTACAAATTAAAGACTTTGTTTAAGATCTATTTGTTTTATTTTAAAAAACAGATGTATGCTAAATGTTTTATTGTTGTGTTAATTAAAAAAAGTTTTAATCTCCTCTCAGTTATTATCTTTTAAAGTTGTAAACTTTAGTAAAACCTTACGTTTTTTTTTGTTTTGTTTTTGGTAATTGCTTAACCATTTATCCATTTTTAATTTGTCCTTTTTAAGCTTAAGTGTCCCATTGAGATACAATGTCATGATGTCATTGCATTTCTTATGACCTAAACCTAGTCCCCATGAGGGCAAATGCCTTTGGTGGCTCCAGGGTTCAGTTTAGGACTAAGGTGTGAATTGCGTTTAGGTTCGATTTAGGGTCAGGGTTGGGCTGTAGTTATGAATGAAAGTCTTTGCAATGTCCCCATGAAATAACTGTACTAGTCTGTGCATGCATGTGTGTGTGTGTGTGTGTGTGTCCCTCATTCTCAGCACATGGCAACAGGAGCTAAATTTAGCTCCAGCAGCCGGGCTTCACAGCAGAATCATTCTTCCTTTCTGTGAAGATGAGCTCCTGACAGGTATAGCTCAGGTTCCTCTGGTGCTCCTTCATTCATTATATCCCTACCTTAACACCCCCAACCATGCCACCTTAACAACACTCACCCCACAGCAGGGGCAGTTCTAGGGGCAGGACCACAGGGGCATTGGCCCCAGCTGAAATCTGATTGGCCCCCTGAAGTTCCATGTTCAAACACTAGTTGCACTAATGAGCCAAATAGTAAAGTCCAGAATGAATCAAGCTTACAGAATTCTTCTCTTCTTAAAATGTGACAATCCTGCAAAAAATCTCTTTCAACTGACAAATAATGACTGTATTTTCTCACGTGTGTGAGTATATTTTATCTATGTACAGTAAAATGTATGAAAAACTGGTGAGGAGAATTTACTGTGCAAGATTCTTGGTACCACTTTACAATCAAGCTCCCCTTATAGATGGCTTATAAAGAGTTTATAGATAGGTTATTAATTCATTTGTAAACTTTACACTTCATAAATCATTAAAAATAAAATTGGACAATTCTGTCTCTTTCTCGTCCTTAATTATCGCATAATAAACACTTATTAATAATTTTTAAAGTGTTTACAGATTAATTAATAACCTATCTATAAACTGTTTAAAAGCCATCAATAAGGGGGGCCTTCTTGTAAAGTGGTAACTTTTTAAAAAAAATTACATTACAAGTGTTTGAAGTGTAAAATGTATACACTGGGAATTTGTGTGAAAAGATGTTGAACAAAGACTTGGCACCTCTATGAATATTGTGGCCCCTTACTCAGAAAAATCCTTTATCTGTTGTGTTTGCAAAGTATCTCATGAGCCACAACCAATTAATCGTAAAAAAAGAGAAAAACAACTTCATGATTGCACAAATGAAACAGGCTACTGAGTTAAACTTCGGTGTGGTAGTAGCCGAGAGTCATCCTCGACACATCTCACACGACATGGTGCCTTACAGTAGTTTAACTCTGGGGTTACACACGTGGACACAATTGTTGGTACCCCTCGTTTAATGAAAGAAAAACCCACAATGGTCAAAGAAATGACCAGAATCTGACAAAAGTAATAATAAATAAAAAAAAATTCTATGAAAATGAACAAATAAAAGTCAGACATTGCTTTGCTTTGCTTTTCAACTGCAGTCAAACGGTTCCTGTAACTGTCAATGAGACTTCTGCACCTCTCAGCAGGTATTTTGACCTTCATGAGCAAACTGCTCCAGTTGTCTCAGGTTCACTGTTTTCCTCTTTCTTGGGTGTTTTTAGCTGTGTTTTGGGTCATTATCCTGTTGAAGGACCCATGCATGACCTGTGACTGAGCCTAGCTTTCTAACACTGGGCACATTTCTCTCTAGAAGGCCTTGATAGTCTTGAGATTTCATTGTACCCTGCTCAGGTTCAAGACACCCAGTGCCAGATGCAGCAAAGCAGCTCCAGAATAACAGAGTCTCCTCCATGTTTCACAGCAGGGACAGTGTTCTTTTCTTCACATGCTTCATTTTTCCCTCTGAACACAGAGCTCAGGTGCCTCGCCAAAATGTTCCATTTATGTTTCACCTGTCCAGACCAGTGGTTCCCAAACTTTTTATCTTCTGACCCAAAAAATATTCATGGCAAAAACTTGTGACCCCAAATATTACTGGTCTGAGTACACAAACTTTGTTGATAATCCTAAAAACAAAGGCTGCACAAATATACTCATTTATACGTATTTTGTGTTTTTGTAATAATTATAGGGAAAATATTATATCACCAATTATTTATTACCCTTTAAATTGATTAGAGGACATTCCCCCTGAAGCTTTATGACTTGTCAACACGTAGTTTGACATATTCCAGTCTGGCTTTTTATGATTTGTTTTCAACAATGGTGTCCTCCTTGATCGTCTCCCATTATGTCCACTTTGGCTCAAACACTGACGGATTATGCGATCTGACAGTGATGTTCTTTGATTCTTTGTTACCATCTGTATTACCTGTCTCTTTGAGTTTGTCATCAGTTTCCTCCTGCTTCCCATGGATCTTAAATTTATGAATATGTACAAATGTAGTCACAGGAACATCAAGCTGCTTGGAGATGGTCTTATAACCTTTACCTTTAACATGCTTGTCTATAATTTTCTTTCTAATCTACTGAGATAACTCTTTCCTTCTCTTCCTCTGGTTCATGTTGAGTAAGGTCCACACCATGTCACGAAACAGCACAGTGAGTATCTGTAGCCCTATATACAGGACACACCTTGATTAGCACTTACAAGAGAGTAATATACGTATGCATCAATCAAGTGACAGGTGACACGCCCCCTTTTCGGGGGGG